GGCAGGCCGAAAAGTACATTCGCGCGAGGGCCTGCTCTGAGTGTCGTTGTCTGTGACGTCAAGAGTTAGGTGGGCCTCGGGCACCAGCGACCACTACAATGGCGCAGGTCTTTGACAGCATAAGGTCCGCATTACTGACAATGGTTCGAGCCTGAGCACCCTTTTAGGAAAAATAATGGCAGAAGGTGGTTCAGCTATTCTGTCCTTAGTCTCGTGCTCCGTGCCAAAGTACACGCCTCTACAAGAGCTTTGTTAGGTAGTTAGTTCTTCAAAGACAATAGGACATGAGCGGATACCACATCGACCAGTGCTTGCGGTGTGGACGATACCATGCATACTATAGTGCTAAACACACAACTCTTTTTCTATTACTTGTCTAGACGTATACTTGCGATGTTAACTGTATGAAAGCGAGACATAGAAGGCAATGCTTTAGGACGAACAGTCAGTTTTCCCCGAGCTTAGTGTCGGGGTAGAGTTCCAGACATGAAACTGACCAACTTTGTTGTTCACATCCCTATCTTTTCTAGCTTTAACCCGAATTGTGGGGTTCACAGTGTAGAACATGTCACATATTGCAGTAAGAATGTAAATTCCGAGATGAAATTCCAATAGCAGCTGACATGTCACCTTACCCCATAAAATACTCACCTCACTTCAGGCTCCGGCAACATGAGCAGTGAGCTCAGGGGAGCACAGCGAGCGCATCGCTCTAATTTACAATTACATCAATCAGAATACATGCCTTTATAGGCATGGCGATAGCACGGGACACAGTCTTGGTTCGATTATATAGCCTTTCGAAGGGGCACAAAGAGGACGTTCCCCTCCAGTCCAACCTATCACCCAGAGATATTTCAACTTACGGATTAGCAAAGTAGTTGCTTCCGCGTCTTCTACAGTCACTCCTTCAACATAATTATTGGAAAAAATTAAAGGTTAAGCCTCTTTCCAAGCAACCTCATTGTATTTTTTCACGTCACGCCCCTTTTCACTTCTATTCCGCAGGACCTGGCAACCGAATTAATCCTATGAAACACATACTATGAAAAAAAAGCCCTCGGACGCGCCCAAGCCCTTCAATCCCTGAAGTCCTCTCTGAAGACGTACTCTACCTTTGGCGGAACAACCCATGAGCAGATGAAAGACATGCTAATGGGCTTGCCGACTTCGGGATCAATAACTGAGGCGGTCCTAAAACGGTTGGGGGTGTTGGTCTTCCGACACCACAGATCGACATTCTGGGCTCACTATTTTGATGATAGTTTCACCGTTTTTGAACGGGACCAAGAATTAGAATTCAAAGATAATCTCAACGCCGTCTTCTCAGACATGCAGGTAATGATAGAGGACAAAGGAAACAAAAAAATCTAACCTTTCTCGATGTCCTCTTTCACCGAAAAGACTGTAATAAAAAAATACTTCTCAGGAAAGAGACCAACACGACGCAAGTACTGAGATTCAACAGTAACCATCTGATCAGCCACAAACGCAACTGCGTATGTACACTATATCAACGTGTCCAGACGCACTGCAGTGAGCCGGAGGACAAAGTTGCTAAACTACAATATATTCAACGGGTGCTTAGAGTGAATAGTTACTCGCATAACTTCGTCTGCCGCTGTAGGCTTGAACGCAACGAAGGAGAAACTTAAACCAACCCCAAATGTTGGCGAGCACTCTCGTACGTGAGGAAAGTCTCGGATGCCGTC